CTCTCTCTCTCTCTCTCTCTCTCTCTCTCTCACACACACACACACACACACACACACACACACACACACAACGAGTTCACAATGGCAAACCGCCAGCAATTCCGCCAAAGCCGGTAAAACACGACCACCTTCTCTGCAGGGAGAATGATGAACGCAACTTGAGTGCGGCCACGTGAAGAACGGCGAAGAACAAAAACGAACAGCGAAAAAAAAAACAAGTCCGTGTGGCTGCCCAAACAGAAAACAAAAAATAAAACACACACGTCATTTAGCAAAATAGCACATTATATGAGGCTTTACTCTCACAAAGGACACAATGTGCAAAATTTGAAAAAACAAACCAAAGCAACCTCGCGGCTACCTCAATATCGCTCCTCTGCCTCGTCCACTCAGGCCATGGGGGTTGGCATTTTTCCCTTTCTTTTAAAGGGGTCTACCATAGTTCCTGCTAGTTTTCCCTGTGGTACAGGCCATCACTTTGAGTGCTGTTCTTTGCAGGCTCCTCAGGGGCAGCCAGGCGCCCTAGCGGCCGTCAAATTTTCGAGTTTTCATCAACTTTTGCTTGTGTGAATCTCCAATGCAAGCTTTCTGTGAAATTTGAGATTTTGTACCACTCGATCGTGAGTAGCTTCCAGTCAATGAAGTTTGCATGAATGATGGATGCTGAAATTGGGCCTTGCTCTACACAAAACTCTACATGCATTTCGACGCTTTCTGGACTGGATTCATTCAGCATGTTGGACTCATCCCAGTGCACCTGGTCGGGAAAGCAGCCAAATGTGTGTAGAATGTTGTGTAGTGGAGTAAGGCCCATGGTGTTGAAGTTCGGCAAAAGACCTGTCTACAAGACTACCTACCTTAGAGTGACTGAAAGTCGCAGAGCTTGGCTTGCAGGAGGCAAAGAAGGAGCTTGTTGTCGCTCAGAATGCGCTGGAGGACAAACATAAGAAACTGTCGGAGATCGAAGAGAGCCTTGCTCATCTTAAAGCCAGGTAGGTTCGACAGATAGAAGGGCCTCACTCCATTACCCAACGTTCGACATGTATCTGTACTGGATTGTGGACCAGACACATTCGGACTGATCCAACAATTTCCTATGTATTGAGACCACTATCACATCCAGATACATTTCATATATTCTGTAGTGGAGGAAAGCCCAAGAAGAACGCAGGTTCCATAGTTTCCCTTTCTGCACCCGCTTTTTTTTTTTTTTTTTTTTTTAACCACTAGCTCCTCTGCCAGTGTTTGGAAAGTAGGGAAAACTGGCAGTTTTCCCAAACTCCTAAAAAGTCGGAGGCTGGGACTGCCGACGGCCGCCGTTGATGAATCTCATCGGCGGTCGTTGTTTCATTTCGGCCTCCTAAAAGATCGGAGGCCCACCCGAGGCCTCCCTATTTTTTCCCGACCGGCAAAGGCACTGGTGGCTTAAGAGTTTTCCTTTTGAATACAGGGCTAGTCGACTACTTTTTGGAGACGGAAAAGGGGGAGATCCTGTCTTTTAAATAATACAACGAAAAAAACTGAAGTCATTCAACTGAACCTACAACAATGAGTTTACCAGTTCCAGCCAATCCAATCTTTTTTTTTTTTTTCAGTTAGTCAGTCAGCTAGTTGAATTACCAATTGAACATAACAAGGTGTAGCACAGTCTGGTAGCACGTCGGTTTTGGGGTACAGAGAGAGGGTCAATAGGTTCGAATCCTGTCGCCTTGAGTCAAAATCAGAGTGAATTGACATGAAAATCAATCGACCATTATCGTCTCTATGTGTGTCATCCTTGCGCAGGGGCCATGCTAATCTTCTTTCTCTGTATCGTTCCGATTTGAACGGATGTCCCGAAGGACTATCACCTCATATTACTGTTTATAAGCCACAATTAAATTCTTCTTTCTCTATTTTTCATAGAATCTGTGGTGCTTTTTTAGGTACTACTGTTTTATTTAGTATTCTTTTTGTCAAAATGATCAATGACAATTAACATTATTAAAATGTTAATTGGCATTGGCATTGATCATTGAATGATTTCAATTTTTGGTCGTATTATTTAAAAGACAGGTTCTCGCCCTTTTCGTTGTCCAATCGTGTATATACTTAAACAAAGAAGTTGTTGACTAGCCCTTATTAAAAAGGACAACTCTTAAACAAAAAAGGAATATGACAACTCTGCCTCGGGTACATCCTTCTCGAATGGAAGTAATCAAATACCGCCCAGTTTTTTCTGGCATGACCTCCCTCCAGATCCGTAGCAGAGCAGCCCAATAAGGGTGAGAGGACTAGGTGGGGGCTTGTCTCCCCTGTCATCTTTGACCTTTTGGGGTCCAGTCCTTGCTCATCACCCAGAAAAGTCTGGACATATTTAGGGGGGACTCAATTGGGGCAAGGCTTCTGATACTATCTTGTGCTAGCTTGTTTCAGGGCAAAGACTGTTTAGACAGAAGCTTGACTACCCACTTGATTCGGAGGGCTTTCGTCTCTTGTCTGGGATTTATGATACTCAGTCCTCCCTGGGTTGGTTTCCTTGTGATAAAGTGCCAGGCTATCTTTGGGATGTAATTCTCTCTATTCGGGTCTTCTGACCACAAGTAGGCTCTTGCTTTCCTGTTCAGGTCTTTGATTGTCTGGTCTGGTATGGTCCAGATCGAGGCAATGTACCACATCATTGAGAATATGGAAGTGTTAATGGTGAGTGCTCTTCCCAGTATTGACGTGAACGCTTGACTCTATTTCCCCATTTTGTTAATTTGGCTGGCTAGGAGGTTCTGTGCCATCTGAGGTGTCGGGTCTTTTTTCGTTACTTGAATACCTAGATATCTCATTGGCGTCTCTGACTTTTCCCATGACAGTTGACTCTCCGGAGCTTGGAGCTGTGGAAACGGTTTATCGTAAAACCACCAACCTATCGTCTTACCCCAATTTATCTTCAATTTTTAGGCTAATCTCAAGGCTTCCATTGCCCTAACCATGGCTGGCATTGGTGAGTTGGAGGCTTTGATTAGGACGGTTAAATCATCAGTGAATATGATTACTGTAGGAAACCCCATGTTGTGTGCAGATCCTACGTTCGTTTCCGGCAGCCTTTGGATAGAAGGGTCCTTACGGAGAAAGGAGGCTATGGCTTCCATTACAAAGGGGAAGATAGGCAGAGCTAATGGGTCGCCTTGTCTTACTGATCTGGAGATTGGGTAGCCTTTGGAGAGCAGGCCGTTGATCTGAACGCAGTAGGAGGCATTGTTGTACAGGACACGCACCCATTTCCTGATGTTGGGACTTACTCCCATTCTTTCCATACTCGCAACTAGGAAGTCCCAATTTACCTGGTCGTAGGCCTTTTTGAAGTCGAAGAAGAGAATCGCTGTCCTAATTTTCTTCTCTAATACTTTCTTAGAGTCCTCATTGAGGGTCATTACATCTTCTAAGATATATGTCTGTTCGGGTTGTTTGTTGGCCCCTTATTTCCTTAAGCCCTCTATTGAGCTAGAGCAATTATTTGCCTTTATTCCAGCAAAACAATATTTTGACATCTATTCGTTTAGTTCGAAGTCCATCATTCTGGCTCTGATCTGGAGCCCTCTGAGTTCCCATTGGCACCACGTCCCAAGTTCTTCTCTCATTCTTTGCAATACATCCGCATACATTTGAGAAGACGGATTAATGATTAAATTACTTTCCGCTACTTAGAGGGCAGTTTCGAGCATCACCTTTCGTCTTCTCATGTCATTGGTCATTTTCCTCGTTATTTTAGCTGTTGTTTGAGCTATCGTCAGGTAGCTTTCTTGGAACCATTCCCATCTGTCCTGCCCTATGATGAAACTTCCTTTTAGATTGTGCCAGCTCCCAACCACCCGTTCTTGGAATTCTTGACTCAGTAGGAGAGAATTGTTTAATTTGCGGAAGCTTCGACATTTCTGGATGAATTGATCGAAGCTGATGATTAGTTCAATTGGTTTATGATCCAGACCTGGGTAAGGCGCCAATGACATAATCTCCGCTTCCTTGACTTTTCCCTTAAGGTGGTCGGACACCAGAAAGAAGTCTATGCAAGTCTATGCGAGAGAAGGTCGTGTGGTGAGTGTGATTTTTCTTCATTAATTAGAAACCTCTTGTTGTCGGGTGTAGGGTATGGAAGGGGTCAACCAGACTGTGATCCATAATTAATTCCTGGATGGGCGCCGCTTCTTGGGAAGACTGTGATGAGGCAGCTCTAGAAATACGGTCGTTAACTGGGTCCAGTGTGGCGTTCCAGTCTCCGCCAATTATACAGGCTTGTAGGGGAGGAATCAGCTGACCTAGGGAGTGAATAAAGGAGGATCTATCGTTCCTGTCATTAGGAGCATAGATGTTGATCAGTCTAAAATGCTCCTCTTATTCTAGGAAGACATTGAACTAATCAGAACAGATACTACACTTGAGTCATCCATGGGAAAAATCTCCTCTTCTTCTAGAAGGTCAGTCCCCTTTGCATCCCCAAGCCTGGTGGTACCAGGCTAATCTGCCCTCTATTTGCCCAGGGTTGGGCAGCACCTGCAGCCAACCATTCTACTCCATCACGGAAATAGAAAGCCCGCAATGTACCCCCGCGCGGCCATTTCTTCTTGTCTGCCACACACTACTGCATGGCACTAGAAGAAACACGACGTGCTGCCGCACTGTCATGCTTGTGTGTTGTAAATTGTCACCACAACAACCCCTTTTCCACCCAGATGAGCAGATTCAAAATTGAAACAGTTTCACCTTAGTCTTCTATAGCAAACAACATGAAGCACACTAAATCCGTTGTATTGCCTTTTCCTTGTGCAGTTCTTTCTTTGCTTTCCTTTGGCATGTTTGGGGGTTTCTCTTTCATTTCTTCTTGCAGCTCCCCCTTCACTGTGCCTTTCACGTACAAAGCTTGCCATGATGATTGTGGTTGAGTGCTAGCGGCCCACATCACAGTGTGCCATAATGGCCCGCTTGCACGCTATGAATGGAGGCAGAGTAAACGGGAAGTTTTTTTTTCTTTCTTTTCTTTCTTTTCTTTCTCTTCTTTTGTGTGTGTGTGTGTGTGTGTGTGTGTGTGTGTGTGTGTGTGTGTGTGTGTG